TTTCCAGCTGTGGGGAGCCTTGGGTGCCTCCTCATGGAAGGGTTTGGGTAGGAAGGGACTTTAGAGACCATCCAGTGCCACCTCCCAGGACACCGTCCCCTGTCCCAGCCTGCTCCAAGCCCTGTCCAGCCTGGCCTTGGGCACTGCGGGGATCCAGGGGCAGCCCCAGCTGCTCTGGGCACCCTGTGCCAGGCCCTGCCCACCCTGCCAGCCAGGAATTCCTTCCCAATATCCCATCTCTCCCTGTCCTCTGGCACTGGGAGCCATTCCCTGGGTCCTGTCCCTCCATCCCCTGTCCCCAGTCCCTCTCCAGCTCTCCTGGAGCCCCTTCAGGCCCTGCAAGGGCTCTGAGCTCTCCCTGGAGCTTCTCCTCTCCAGGTGAGCACCCCCAGCTCTCCCAGCCTGGCTCCAGAGGGGCTCCAGCCCTGGAGCAGCTCCTTGGCCTCCTCTGGACTGACCCTGCAGCCCCACAGCACCCCCAGGTCAGGACACACGGGGTGCCCTGAATGCAAACCAATATTCCTCCTTTCCCTGCTTTGCTGCCTGCAATAATTATTGTTCTGTACAATGGCCTCCAAATGTGGTACAACTGTACTATAAACACTTGTGTGGCTTTATCAAACAGTTCTGAAAGGTGCTTGCCATGCCTAATGCTCTGGAAAATGGGCAGGAATGAGACAGAAAGCACCTGGAACATCTCCATCAGCAGGAGACTTCTGAGCTCAGCAGATCCCAGCTGAGATTATCTGGGAAAGGCATCAGTTGGTGCCTTGGCCTCGGTGCTGCATCCGAGTAGAAGCCAAAGCCCTTTGGTCTGACTGTGCAAACACGGAGTTCATGGCAAACAAACAGGAATTTGATTCCATGGTGGTATTTACTGCAGCACTTCCCTGTCCTGTCCTTCCTGTGACCCGCTGAGGGTGTCTGGGCTGGCTCTGGGTGAACACCCGTCCTGGGGCAGCAGCACGGACAGCCCAGGCTGGGCAGGGCTTGGAGCAGCCTGCTCTGCTGGAAAACAGAGGTGGGAACGGCCAGGAGCTGCCCCACCATCAGTGATGGACAACAAGAGATGTTCAGTCTCCAGGCTGGGCCATCAGCAGATCCTCGCTCTGTCTGCACGGACACCACGGGCCACAGAACCAGGGAATGCTTGGGGGGAGACCTGAAATCCCATCTCATCCCAGCCCTGCTGTTGGGGACACCTGCCACTGTCCAGCCCAGCCCTGGACACTTCCAGGGATCCAGGGGCAGCCCCAGCTCCTCTGGATCGTCTCCACCGAGCTGAGCCCATCCCAGAGCAGCTGCAATCCTGTGGATTCCTGTCCCCAAGCAGCTGCAGGGAGCTGGAGCGGGCGAGGCTGGGCCCTGCAGAGGTACAGGGAGTGCACAGAGTGCACAGACAAACAAACCCCAGCGTGGATCAGCACATGGGAATGTGCTCCTCGTGCACGGGGAGAAGGCAGGAGATGATTTATCACAGGCTAATTACGCATGAGACAACTTGTACCCGGCTGGTTGGACAAGATGGAGCCCGAAGAAAATTGAGGCAACAACAACCCTTAGGTCAACCTGACATTTGTTGTTGGATCTGTGGGAAATTATTCTCATAAAAACAGACTTTGTAGCCATAAGAGAAAAATAAATATTAATGCAGAGGATGTGCTGTGATGGATGGCGATGGAGAAACCCCAGGGCAGCCAGAGACGCTCCCCGTGTCCATCCCCCACTTCTCACTCCTGTGGGAGAACCTCAGGTTTCCACATTAAAAACCACAAATATAAAGATCCCCGCCCCAGGCTGGGCAGGGGTTTGGTGCTGGGATCACGAGGCTCTGCTTGTGCTCTGTGCCTCCCATGACTCAGCCCCTCAAATTCCCCTGCAGCTGGAGGAAGCCCAGGGCCGGGCTGTGCCCACCCTGCTGTGACACCACCGAGGGCACCCGGCCTCGTCTCACTCTGCTTCTCCCAGCAGAGTTGAAAGCAAAGGGATTTTTTTTCCCCAGGCAAAACTCTAGTGAGCTATGGAAGAGCCACAGAAATCCTACAGAAGTCCTGGGAGAGCCACCTGGCCCTGGCATGCCCAGGAAACCTCTCACTGCATTTCTGGATCATCTCCAGCACCTCTCCCACAGCCCCTGCCCCAAGCCTGGAGGTCACAGACACAGACTGCAGCCCACAGTCACCAGGAGCTGGGGTTCCTCATCCTGGGGCAGCAGAATCCTGGATTTGGGGGGTTTTTACCCCTCCCAGGGCCATTGCTGTGGTTGGAGGCTGTCCAGGAGCCAGGAACGCTCCAGCCCTGCAGTTTCCCAGTGCAGGCTCAATGCAGCCCTGAACCAGCCTCTGTGACCTCCGAGCTGACCCTGCTTTGGGCAGGACATTGCTCTGGACACCTCCCAAAGCTCCTTCCCACTCCCAGGGAACCTTCCCACCACCACCACCCACCGCCTGCACCGTTCCTGAAGCCACTTCCCCGCAGAGCTCTGCCTCAGGAGCTGGAAGGAAGGGCCAGGGAACACTCCAGGGTTATTGTGTGGTGAGATCCCACTCCAGGGTCATTCTGTGGTGAGATCCCACTCCAGGGTTATTCTGTGGTGAGATCCCACTCCAGGGTTATTCTGTGGTGAGATCCCACTCCAGGGTTATTGTGTGGTGAGATCCCACTCCAGGGTTATTCTGTGGTGAGATCCCACTCCAGGGTTATTCTGTGGTGAGATCCCACAGCTGGACAGCCCTGGAATCACCGGCACAGCCCCAGGCAGGGGCAGGGCAGAGCTGGGTCCCTGTGGGTGCCCCCAAGCCCAGCCCCTGTGGGAAGGGGGAACTCTCTGCCTGTTCCCACAGCACTTGGGGCTGCTGACACTTCAGTCTCCTCCAGGAACAGCTCCTGCCCTTCTGCCCAGCTCCCAAATCAGCTCCTGCTCAAGCTGTTCCTTCCTCCCGGCCTCTGGGGCACCTTTATCCCGCTGTCCAGAACAGGCTGTTTCATGACAAATCCCAGGCACAGCAGTGAGCACGGCAGAGGTGGCCTCACCCTTCACTGTCACCCTGTCACTGCCCCGGCTGCTGCCTCCCGAGCTGGCAGTCCCCAAGCACGGGGTCCCCAAGAAGTTACAGGGTCCCCAAGAAGTTACAGGGTTCCCCCGGGTACCCCCACACCCCACAGCCCCCCAGGGAACAGGAGCAGCGCTCAGGCAGCCCTGCAGGGCCCTCTCAGCCAGGCCACCACTGGGGCCACCCCCACAGGGACACGGGGACAGTGACACAGGGACCCATGGGGACAGTGACACAGGGACCCATGGGGACAGTGGCACAGGGACCCATGGGGACAGTGACACGGGGACAGTGACACAGGGACCCATGGGGACAGTGACATGGGGACCCATGGGGACAGTGACATGGGGACCCACGGGGACAGTGGCACAGGGACCCACGGGGACAGTGACACGGGGACAGTGACACGGGGACAGTGGCACAGGGACCCATGGGGACAGTGACACGGGGACAGTGACACGGGGACACTGGCACAGGGACCCATGGGGACAGTGACACGGGGACAGTGACACCCGGACACGGCTGTGGCCCCGCCGTGGGGCCGGGACGAGGCTCGGGCAGGCCCGGGAGGGGACAGCGGGTCCCCAGGAGGAGCCCTGGGGGTGGCTCAGACACTCAGCGCCTTGGGAAGGGAACACCAGAAATATTTTCAGTGCCTTGTCACGGAGCTCCCTCCTGATCGCAGGGCTCCGGGGAAGGTGGGAAGGGGAAGGTTCGGGCAGGGAACCTCCCAGGGAGTGTCCGGGGAAGGACCCAGAAAAGCAAAAGCTCATTAAAACATCCAAGGATAAAGCCAGCGCTGACTCCCGGCTGTGGAAAGAGAACACGAATTCCCCACCCGGAGCTGCTGTCCCACCTCCCACTCCCAACCCGGGCAGAAACCTCCACACAAACCCACAACAACAGCAACCCTCTTTCCGTGCCTTTGGCTCTGCAATCAACCCAAAATCTCCGTTCTGAATCCAGCACAGCCCCGGTGCCGACCCCCGGAGCCTCCCAGTGCCACTCCTCGGGCACCTCACCTTCCCTGAGCCACCCTCCGCCCTCCTCCCTGAGCCCGGTACCTTTCTGGAGCCCTTCTGGAGCCATCCCGGGGGTCGGGAGCAGCTCCACATCCCACCAGGAGCTCTCCCAGCCCTGCCAAGAGCCCCCAGAGCTTGGGGCCACTGGAGGCAGCTGCTTGTGCCTCCCTCCCTGGTGCTCACCTGCAGCTGATCTCAGGTACCCAGGAGGGATCCAGAGGAGAGCAGCCAGCCCTGGGCTGCTGCTGGGAGTAGGGAATTCTTTCCCACGGCAAATCTGGTTCCTCTGAGGCCCCAGGAAGCTGATGTGGAGCAGAGTGTCACAAGGCACAGCTCCAGGCCCAGCTGAGCTTGGGGAGAGCCCCAGGACAGAGCCTGGGGGTCCCCTCCCACCCCAGGGAGCTCCCTGGAGGGCAGCCAGAAGCCTCCTGAGGGAGACACAATTCCTGGTGAAGGTCTCAGTGGGGAATGGGCACCTCAGGAACATCCAAACCACAGCCTAGAGGTGCACAATTACAGTCAGAGCACTTTGGGAGGGACCTTGCAGCCCATCCTGTCCACCCCCTGCACACCAAGGGACAGACTGTGTGGCCCAGCACCTGCTGGGAAGCCAGCCCAGGTTTTAAACCCTCCCCAGAGACCATGCTAATCTCTTCCTAATTTTCCTTGATTTTAATAAATGATCTATTTGCATTGTCCTGTTTAATAATGCCAAGTATGAGCGGGGGGTAGTTTTGTGATCTCTCTCCCAATCCCTCTGAAATGTGATCATAAAAAGCAGTGGTTGGGAGAATGTCTTATTTAATATCCTTGGGGTGAAATGTGGCTCTGAGGCCCTAGAAATGGCCAAGCTGAAATGCTGAGATCAGGGCGTGACAGGCACAGAACGCCACCAAAATGACACCCACAGACACCTTCTGAAACATGAACATTTACTGACATAAATAAACAGTGTTTTATAACAAAAGGCACAAATTTTCAACTATAAACAATGGAAAAATATGTACAATTTCCACACAGGGAATCAACCAGCAAGCGCACAGTTGGTCACTTCAAATTTCCTTTCTTCCGAGTCATTGCAGCAGGCAGGAAGCGTCCAGATTGAACTTCCCCCACACAAACTGCAGCCAGGTGAGAGTTTGTGGCAGAGAACAGCAGCAGCACAGGCTGTCAGATGGAGACAGTGCTGCTGACCTCTTCATACTGGATAATAAAATAGGGGTAGCTCTGGTCATCGTTGAAGATGACGAAGATCTGGGGCTCGAAGTAATTGTCCACGCAGGAGTCGTAGAGGTCGCTGGTGATGCTGCCGGGCTCCACGGGCGGAGGCCTCCTCATGGTGTGGTTGCCCACCGTGTACCTGCCCGTGAGCACCTTGGCCAGGAACATGAAGTGCACGCCCTTGGGGGAGCGTTTGGAGAAGTTGTGCGAGTAGCTGGCCTTCCTGGCAAAGTAGCTGCCCTGGCCGAACATGGTGGCGTGCTTGCCGCACACCCGAGGGTCGAAGTTGTGCTTGCAGATCCCGTCCACCACGTCCTGGGACGTGCCATGGAACAGGTGCCGCTCGTTCATGATCCTGTCCAGCCCACACATCTTCTTGGACATGTATTCCTTTTTCCTGGAACAGAAAATGGGAAGTGAAGGTGAGTATTTGCTGCAGGTCAGCCGGGGAAAAGCTGTTTTCATCACGGTATCACCCTCTGGAAGAGCTGAGCTGTGAGAGGAGATACAAATCTCTCTTAGAAAATTCCTCCTCTAGGAATATCCATTATTAAAGAACTGCAATTGCCTCCTCTTACCTTTTATACTTCTCCCAAAGGAACTGGTTCTGCACTCGCAGGATTTTCAAAATCTTGTATTTGGTCTCTGGCACAGTCTTGTGGAACAGGTTATAAATGGTTCTATAGCTTTTGTCTTCCTTCAGAACAGGCACTTGGATGAAGTCCTGAGCTGGATCCATTCCAATCCAGGTCTCGGGGTAGAAGCTGGGAGAGGTGACAGCAGCAGGGGACAAGCGGTGTGCGGAGGCAGGCTCGGAGCACGGGGAGGGCACGGCGGAGCTGCCACCCAGGGTCCTGGGGGATGGACAAAGGTTGTGCTCAGACACCCTCAGCAGCCTCCAGGCACCTCCACTTCATCCCCAGCACGGCTGAAAAGCCTCTGATTACCATGGAAGTGTCCAAAGCCACACTCAGACACTTGGAGCACCCTGGGACACTGGGACGTGTCTGCCTGGGCAGGAGGTGGCACTGGGTGGGATTCAAGGCCCCTTCCCAAGCCAGGAATACTCCTAGTGCCATTTCCACAGCCAGATGTGGATTTGCATTTGCAGCTGATTATTTTCCTGCCCCTGCTCTGGGAATGGTGCCTGGAGAACAGGCAGGGCTGGGGGAGGGAGCTGTTGCCAAGAAGCCCCACGGACACCAGGAAGAAACCCTTGGAAAAGACCAGCAGGACCCCACTCTTACCCACCTGCAGCTCTTGGAATCCTCCCACTCCTGAGCTGAGCTAAGTGGCCTTTGTGATTTATGTTCCCCTGATCCCACCTGGGTGAGCAGCCCTTACTCAGCTGAGTAAATCCTTGCTCCCTGGGGTCTCCCTCGTGCACCAAGGGGAGCACTGGGAGCATGGGGCGCCTGCAGGGCCCTGGCTCACACCAGCACAGCTCCTGCAGCTGCCAGAACACGTGGAGCGAGCTCCAAAGTCCAGCAAGGAGGATTTTCCCAAAGTATTTCTCTAGGAAAAGCTGCCAACCCCCGCAGTGCCCCGGAGCAGGCAGCGGGAGAGAGCCACTGGCTGCTGGGACACCCAGGGTGGAGCTGCTCCCCAAACCCCACAGATGGCCAGAAATCAAATCAAATCCAAGGAAAAGCGTTGGGAGGGGGAAGTTTAGTGGGAAAAGGTCTATTTTTAAATCAACACATGGCAAGCTGTGACAGCCCTCCCACTTTTCAGGGCAGAAACACTCTGGGAGTGTTCACTGGCTGCTCCCTCCTGCTCGAGGCCAAGGCCAGGATTCCCTTCATTTACATGGATTTGACTCAAAGCTCTTCTCACTGGTCACTAACAGCTGGGCAGAAACCCAGAAATTTGTTCTACAAATTACTATTAAAATAGCAATCAAATACCAAAGTGTGCATTTGCTTTTAATTTGGTTTTCCTCTTTGATGGGCAAGTGGGTAAAAAAAAATATTCCTGCAGGGCCTCATCACTCACACAGGAGTGAAAGGCTGAGCAAGCAGAGATTGCCAGTAAATCATGGATTAATGAGGAAGACATCAAATCCAGTAAAAATCCTGCAATCCTTTGGTGTACTCTGTTCGGTTCTTCTGACTGGTGTAAAATATTTATATTATTTATTCTACAGGGGAAGCCATTAAAAAGTCAACATTTTTCATTCCTATTCAAGGATTCTTTTCTAATTTTAGAACAGATTTAAGCAGGTGGGAGGTGAGGGAAAGAGCAATTCTCAAGTAGAATCATGTGGGAAGTGGAGGCAACACTGACTCCTGAAGGATAGGTCCCATAAATATTTAAAACACTCTTGTTCTTGCCAAGATTCCGTGTTTTTAAGTGAGCTTTACAAGGTCTTTGGATAAATAAAATCAGAATGAGGTTTGGTGCAGAACAGAATCTCAGAGTTCAGTTTGTAGCTTTGGTAGCTGGCACAGACAGTTCTGGTCAATCCCTCACGAGTGTAGAGCCCTCAAGGTCCAGCAAAATTAGCAGGGAATTAATTGGGAATTGCATCATTTCAGGAGATCACTGTGGTGAAATAGTCCCAGGCAGCAAAACACGAGGAGGAGCAGCCCTGAAAGCCTCATTTTTCATTAGGATGAGAACCAGGACTGCTCTAAGCAGCAAGTGCACTCTGGTTTTTACTGGCATCCTCCAGTTTCTCTCTGCTAACCTGGGGTTTCCTTCCTGTAAAACCCAATCTAAAAACACCTCCCAGCCCACGTGTGGAGGCTGTGACTGCACTCCAGAGGCCACTAAAGCAGCACTTCTGGGCTGCCAGGACCTCCAAGCCCATCCAGTGCCACCCCCTGCCAAGGCAGGGACACCTCCCACAGCCCGGGATGCTGGAAAACGGGCAGGAATTTGGCAAACCTGATGTTCCAACATCCACACATTACACATTTAAACAAGGAGCTCCTCAGACAAATGTCACTTTGGAAAGGGGCAGGAGCTGCCAGCATGACCCAGATTTTGGATTCTGGTTCCCATTTCCCACCCAACACCAAGGAACACAAGTCCCCCGTGCAGCCCGGCGCGGAGAGCGGTGGGAATTGCGCATTTCCCGGGATTCCTGCTGCAGGAAGGGCACCGGGAATTGCCCATTCCCAGGGATACCTACTGCAGGAAGGGCGTGAGCAGCACGCAGGAGCGCAGCAGGGGCCTCCTCTTGATCTCCCTGCGGAAGCAGGAGTTCTGCTGGAAGCCATCCCTGATGTTGAGGATGTACTGGTTGTGCCAGGTGACGAAGCGCACCTCGCGCAGCCCGCGGCAGCTCGCCTCCTCGATCAGCCTCACCACGGGCTGGAGGGGGGAAAATGGGAGAAATGGGGGGAGAAACAGGGGGAAACAGGAGAAAAACAGGGGGAAAACGGAGGGAGAAACAGGGGGGAGAAACAGGGGGGAGAAACAGGGGGGAGAAACAGGGGGGAGAAACAGGGGGGAGAAACAGGAAAAATGAGGGGAGAAATGGAGGAGGAAACAGGGGGAAATGGGGAAATGGGGAAGGGAAATGCACACGTGAGAAACCACACGCTCCAAAATTCACATTCCTGCTCTACACTGCACAAAGCCAGGCCTTGCAGCTCTCCTCACAGCTCAAGCACCCTCACTGTGTTATTTGTGGTGTTTCTGCCCAACTCTCTCCAGTTCTTACACTCAGCAATTATTCCTGGGACTGCCAGCACTGAGGAGGTTTCATTCCAAACCTCAGCCGTGCCCAGCCCACAGCTCTGGCAGTGCGTGTCCCAGCTCAGCAGAGCTCTGGGGACAGGGAAATCAATTTAAAACTGCCAAGGTAAATAGAGGAGGTGTTCTGAAGGCTGCAGAAGCTGTCCCACTGACATAAAAACAAATGAGGCTCCAGAGAGGCTTCCTTGGCATTGCCAGCAGCTGCTTTGCTCCCCAGTGGGACAGTGTGGCCAGCCCTGATGTTCTCAGGGTGATTCAAGTCAGGATCTCAGAAGCAAAAGCCAGCAGAGCTGTCCCTTTATTGCTTTCTCAGTTCAGCCCTGACTCTCCTCATCCCCACAGGAACTCCAGATCCCTTCCCTGAGTGTCAGAGAGGAACCAGGCTGAGCAGGGGTGGATTTACAGCGTGCTGGCTCCAGGCCAGGAGCAGGAGAGGGAAGGGGCCATACCTCAGAGTACTCTCTCCAGCCAAAGTGGTCCCTGCAGAAGTACTTCCACACCGTGTAGCAGCTGGAGCTGGAGCTGGGGCAGGAGGCTGTGGACAGGCGCCGCATTTGGTCGAACTCTGCGCTCTCGTATAATTTCATAAGGTTCAGATCCACCCAGAACTCCTGGCCCCTGGGAAGAATGGGAGAAACAGACAATTCTCACCTTCTGTATCCCAATAAACCCATGGTTTTCAGCACAGAGGGACAAAACCTCAAAGCCAGCAGAGGTGTAGAATCCCAGAATGGTTTGGGTGAAGCCCATCCAGTGCCACCCCTGCCATGGCAGGGACACCTCCCCCTGTCCCAGGGGATCCCAGCCCCGTCCAGCCTGGCCTTGGGCACTGCCAGGGAACCATCCAGCTGCTCTGCCCACCCTCCCAGGGAACAATTCCTTCCCAACACCCCATCCATTGCCCTCTGGCAGTTTAAAGCCATTCCCCTTGTCCTGGCACCAAGTGCCCTTGTGAAAGGTCCCGCAGAGACTCGAGAGGTGAGAACAGAGATTTCTGAAGAATTTCTCCTCACCAACTCACCAAATAAAAGCCTCTGTTTATAAAATAAAGCAGTTCAGTGGAACTATTTGCACAGAGAGAATGAGCACATTGAACTCTCAGAAGAAGAGGGCACACAACCCAAATTCGGTGCTGTGGAACAGCACAATTCAAGATAAAACTCCACGAGCTCTCAACAGCAGAACGTGACCCCACAAATAAGTTGCATTTTCTTTGTTCCCTAAATGTAAGAAACAGCAGAAAGGTGTAAACTTTCCAGGACACTGGAGTGAGCAGGTTCCTTGACTGGCAAGTTATAACACTGATAGACTTTTTTCAGATGAGTGCAGCCAAAATAAGAATATTTAAGCTCTCCCTTCCATCCTTCTAAAGAACTTCAGCCTAATGCGTGAATCCCCCGGCCTCCTTCCCTTCAGCAAGACAAACAGATGTTATGTACAAATGGATGAGCAGAGAAATCTGTTTTGTAGGTGCTCTGAAAAGCCGTGTGGTTTGCAGCTCCTCTGCGAGTTCGGGGACGTGTGGCGAGTTACCGCAAACAGGTTCACAGAAAACAGAAACGCTGCGAGCAGCAGGGGCCGAGCAGGATGTGAAAGCTGCTCCCAGCAGAACAGCTGTGAGACACAGCACGGCTCACCCTGCCATGCTGAAACTGGTGAGCTTCTCTCTCTGACTAAACCAGTTCCTCTCTGCACCAGTAACAAGCCGGAGGGCCCCCGGAGCTCAGGGGCTTCAGAGGGGCAGGAGAAGGTTTTGTTCTCGGGGCTGGGGAGCCACACGGAGCTCAGAGACTGCAGCAGCCAAGGCAGGCACTGACGCTTCCTGGAGACACCAAAGCAGAGAGATTTCATCTTGTTTGTGCTCCTGGGTGAAGCTGCAGGGGGAGGACTCTCCCAGAGATGAGCCCAGCTTTGGGTGGGGGGCTGAGAGTTCAAACTCCTGGATGAAACCAAGGATCAGAGAAATCCCAGATTTGGTTCAGTTGGAAAAGCCCTCTCAGAGCATGGAGTCCATCCCCCAGCACTGCCCCGTGCCCCAAGTGCCACATGCCCGGGGCTCCAGTCCCCTCCAGGGACGGGGGCTCCACCAGGCACAGCCTGTGCCAGAGCTGGACACCCAACCCAAAGGTTAATTCTGAAGCACAGGTACCGAAACAGCGAGAGCAGAGCTCAGACAAGAGAGCCAAATGGAAAGGCACAGCAGCAGGAAAAGGCCCAGGAACACTCCCAAGGGATGCTCATCAACAGCTCTGCAGTAAGCAGGACTGGGCACAAGGTGTGACAGGCACACAGGAACCTCCACAGCAGGGCAGGAGCACAAAGAACCCATCTGAGCCTGGATCCCACCAGTCTCCCCAGCTCAAACCCCAGAGAGGGGCAGCAGTGCCAGGGCAGCACTTGAGGTTCAGATTTTACTGAACTTGCCCCCTCATCAAGTCACGCTGCTGCTCTCTGTGGTGACCCTGGGCCACGTGGGAGGTGACACCTCACACTGGGGACATGCCACAGCCACATTTCCCTCCCAGCTTAAAGGCACCATCCTCAGGGGAATAAAGAATCCAAAAGCAGCAAAACTTTGCTGCTTTTTCTGTGTTTATTCTTTAAAGGCTGGAAAACCTGTTTTTCCCTGCCTGTACAGTTGGTGTCAGGGGTGCTTGCAGAAGCAATCTTCTGGAATCCTCACAGCGAGGGGGGCCAGCTTGTCAGTCTGAAACAACTGCTGGCCCAGACATGTGTGAGTGTGTGTATATGGCTTAGATGAACGTCTGGCAGGGAAAATAATAGTAATAATAGTAATAATAATAATAATAATAAATAATAATACAAGTAGCCCCCCCAGCCCTGGATCAGGAAGTCCTCGAGGCAGGGCTGCTGGAGGAGAAGAGACTGTACCAGAAGTTGTTTGTTCTTCCCAAGAACCCACTCCACGCCCGAACAAGGGTTAGGGGGAGCCTGGGCTGTGAGGCTTGGGTAAGTTCTAGAACTCCCCAGCAATGAGGATGTTGAACACATCCCCCTCTCCCAAGGATCCCACAGGCACTGTTTCCCAGTTCAAACCCCAGCTACACCTCGTGTTTGCAGGGCACAACAAACACAGTGTCCCTGGCCAGGCTCGCTGGGCTCCACCGGCTGCTCCCCCGGATGTGTTTGGGAGAGGTTTGTTTGTTTGTTTAATTGCTAAATCGGTAGAAGATGCTCCTGGCAGGGTGTGGGACTCGATGACCTTCAGGGGTCCTTTCCAACCTAAACTATTTCTGTTTTAGAGGAGCACAAGCAGAGCTGCTGCAGGCAGGGACCCGAAAGCTCACCCAGAGCCACAGGCAGGGACATCTCCCGCTGTCCCAGGCTGCTCCAGCCTGGCCTGGGGCACTGCCAGGGATCCAGGGACAGCCACAGCTGCTCTGGGAATTCTATCCCAGGGTCTGCCCACCCGCACAGGGAGGAATTCCTTCCCAATATCCCACCTATCTCTGCCTTCTGGCACTGGAAATTCATTCCCCCTTGTCCCGGCATTCCAGGCTTTTCCTAAAAAATGAATGCTCTGCATCACACCTCCCAAAACCAACTCCCCCCAAAAACACAAGCACTCTTGTGTACATGTGACTATGAGAACCAGATTCTCAATTATTACTCAGCTCAAATCCCTCCTGATTTCAACACATCCGAGTACCCAGCAGGAAGGAACCTCAGGATCAGCGCTCCTGCTGAGCAAATCATTGTCACAGCAGCTTTGTGCTGTCCCGGCTCAGGGATGGGCACTCCTGTCCCAGCCCTGAGCCTGCTGCCCTACCTGGGAGCAATCCCTGCTCTCTGTTTCAGGAAGCTCTGCTTTATTGCCAGGAACAGCCTGACCTCAACCTGCAGCCAGATGACAGCTGTTCCCCAAACTGCAATCTGTTTATTGACGGCAAGCAGGGATGGCACTGATTGCTGGTTCCTCGCAGCTCCACTCAGGGCCTTCCTGCTTTTCTACAGCTTGAAGCCAATTAGTTTCATTTCATATGGGAATGGTGCTGCAGAGTGCAGCTAAAAGGAGCCCACACAGCACAAGGCAAACGCTTCCAAAATCGCTTCCCAGGAGTTTTATTTGAGGCTCTGCCTTGGATTCCTCCTGGAGAGGAATGAAAAGCAGCTCCCAACCACTCAGGGAATAGCCAAGAACCTCCCCCAAACCCAGGCAGAGGGACTCTCAGCTGGTTTCCCATCTCCTGTTATCACTAACACATGCCTTATCTCACACACTGTGGCACTGTGTGGATCACACAGAAAACCTCTGAAATGTAACTGTTTGATGGGCCCTGCAGAGCTCCCCAAACAGCTGCTGCCCACAGAGGCTGCCCCTGCACCCCTGGCAGTGTCCTGGACAGGGCTGGGAGCAGCCTGGGACAGTGGGAGGTGTCCCTGCCATGGCAGGGGTGGCACTGGCTGGGCTTTTCCAAGCCAGAACTCTGTGATTCCATGATTCCATGCCTGAAATGCCTCCACCACGCTCTGTATGATTTTTAACACGTCAAGCACATTCTGTCAGCACCAGAGAAGCAGCCATCCCACACACAGAGGAATGAAGGAAAACCAGTTTCCTGTACATTTCTAGGTGTCCATGCCTCTCCTTCCCAGTCCCCTCACATGCCCCCTGATAACCCCAGCGGAACACTCTGTATTTACAGAGTCACAGAATCATTTAGGTTGGAAAAGACCTCCAAGAACACCGAGTCCAACCTCGTTCCCAGCCCAGAGCACCGAGTGCCACGTCCAGTCACTCCTTGGACACCTCCAGGGATGGGGACTCCAAACCTCCCTGGACAGACCTTCCTGTGCCTGACCACCCTTTCCAGGGAGAAATTCCTGCTGATACCTGAGCTGAACCTCCTCAGGACAGCTTGAGTTTCCTCTTGCCCTGTCACCATTTACTGACTTCACCCAAGGACCAGGAGCATGCAGAGAGAGAAGAGCTCCCAGGCAGAACCCATCCCACTGCAGAGCCACCCTGCAGCCTCATCCTGGCTTCTCTTCCAGCTAGCATTCCATAAAAATTACAGAAATTATGGGAAAAAGAAAGAAAAAGGAAAGAAATCAAAGCAACAGCAAGAAGCTGCCATGTCAGGCGAGCTGGGAGCCCTTTTTTGCCAAGAGAAAGAGTGGAATTTCCAGCCAAAGCAGGGGGAACTGATGGGTCAGGAACTGCAGAGTTGTTTTAAACAAATCCTCCTGTAATCTCTAATGCTGCTGTTTTGAAAAGCGACGTGTGCATGATAGGACAGGTGTGTGTGTGTGTGGGGAAACCTGCTCAGCTCCTCAGCCAAGTATTTCCCCTTAGCAAAGAGCATCTTAAAATATCCCAACGTGGGCATCTCCTGCTGGAAAGCAGCACTTGGCACTGCTCTCTCTTTGCTGCAAGCTGGAACTTCTCCAGGGCCTCTCCTGACATCTATGAAGAAAACTGAGTGCTCCTAAGTACTTTAACCTGTTAAGTTGATGTTCCCCCATTTGTTTAGATAGCTTGGTATGTGGCTCTACATACTTGGCAGACTCAAGAATCCAAAAAAAAACGAAAGTAATTTATGATAAATACTCAGTTTGAGGTCAAACTGCAAGAAGCAGCTGAAGGAGTTGCATTACACAAAGTAACTAAACAAGGTTTACCACTCCTCTGAGATCACATTCCCTTAGGTGAGAGGCAACAACTTAAGTTATTGGGATGAGTAATGTAAAATACACATTATCTCCATCATTACTCATCCCAATAATTAAGAGGAAGGAAGGTTTATATTAATAGCTCCTTGAAGAACACCCTAATTTAGAGCTCATTCCCTAATTGAGCTGATAGCCAACACTTTCTGGAAGGGCCCAGCTCCCTGGGGGCATCCCCAGTCGCCACACCCCGGAGCAGGACAGACAGCAGCCTTGCTGGCCAGGCAGAGTGCTGAGCAGGCTTTTCCTCTGCCTGCCACGAGCAGACAGGTCTGCAAAGCTCGTCTGACCACGGCAGATTAATGGCTTTAACAAATAATGCCGTAACCATGGGACGCAGCGCTGGCGGGGCACGGTCACAGATCCCAGGGGACACGGCTTGGGGACACTGGGCACCAGTGGCCAGCAGGGCACCAGTGGCCAGCAGGGAGCTGGGGCTCCCCACACCTCAGCAGGTTCTCCTCAGACCAGGTGATGCTGCAGAAGAAGCTGGTGATGAAGAGCAGTGGAATGTTGAGCTCCTACCTCCAAGCCTGGCAAGTTCAAAGTTCTGAGGAGGATCAGACTCAAAGTTTGAAATCAGCTCTGGTCTTAAATAGAGCTTCACTCCAAAGGTCTCACTGACATACTCCAAGGGTGGAAGGGATCTTAAAGATCAGCTGGTTCCACCCCTGCCATGGCAGGGACGCCTTCCCCTGTCCCACGCTGCTCCCAGCCCTGTTCAGACTGGCCTTGGGCACTGCCAGGGATCCAGGGGCAGCCCCAGAGCCAGGGTCTCCCCACCCTCCCAGGGAAGAATTTCTCCCCAATATCCAGAGCAAATCTGCAGTTTGTCCTGTCCCTCTCAGCCCAGCAAGGTCAGGTCTGTATCCCCGGGCTGTGCCTCGCTCCTTGGGCAGAGTCCCGAGCCCAAGCTGCTCCTCTGCCTTCCCTCACACTCAGGGAACGTCCTGTCCCCAGCACACACCTGCCAGCCCTGTCCCCAGCTGCATCAGGCAGGCAGCAATCCATGTCCCTCAGCCCCTCTGGGCTGGGACCTGCACACCCAGTGCAGGGGACAGGGCACTGCACAGCAGCTTCCCAGGCCGGGGGTGACTAAGCCATGACCAAGCACTGTGTCCTTTACCACAAATCACTCCCAAGTCCATCCTTTAGGACACAGAGCTCATGTGCAGTGATGGATTTGGTGACACAACTTCTAAAAGGAAACCATTTGCTCATTTGCACAGAGCTCAAAGTTAAATCATTGAATGGGCTTGGCTCTGGCTGTGCTGTTTTGTTTTCAGAAATCGTATCTAACACTTGGGAAATAGAAGTTCCTCTCTTGTAAAGTTCAGCAGATTTTTATCTGCTATGCCCTTACAAAATTACATATTTCTTCAAGACAATTCTATAAAATATAGTTGTCCCCTACTACATATTCTACTTCACTCTTATTTTCAGTGTGGGGCATCCATATTTTGATATTGCCATCACTAAAAAGGCCCTGGCAGAGGTTCCCCAGGAAAGCTGTGGCTGTCCCTGGATCCCTGGCAGTGCCCAAGGCCAGGCTGGACACTGGGGCTGGGACAGTGAAGGTGTCCCTGCCATGGCAGGGGGTGGCACTGGGTGATATTTATGGTCCCTCCCAACCCATGTTATTTTGAGTCTATGAAAAAGGTTGAATTTAGTGTCTAATCCAACATCAAATTCAATGAAAGTAAAGACTTACGCTGACTTTAAGCACTAGATTTGGTCTCTGGTGCCAAATGAGAAATCTCAGCTTAATAAATGAGAATAAAATGTTGAGGAAGCAGGGATATACTTCCTTCAGGAACTGAAAGGAAGAAGAGGCAGTGAGCAGAACCCCGAAGGATTTGGGTGGCAAAGGCAGTGTGAAGGTTTCACTCCAGAAATGTCACTTTGAACTGGAATTGCGCCAGCCTGGCAAACTTCTCCTCTCTTATCTGTCCTGCCACAATGTGCACCACACACTTCCTCCAGAAAAAACCAAACCAGTCTGCAGCCTGCACCGACTGCACCCTGTAAACATCACTCCTCCCCACTGCTGCTCAGACTGGAACCTGCAGGGGAGAAGCTGAAGAAGTTTTAGCTCTCGGGGTGCGGGAGCCCACACCGGTCACACAACCACATCAAGCCAACAGCTGTTGGCTAATTTTAGAAAACGAGTCAATAAACACAGCTCTGTAGAGAGAAAACAATAACTCTCCCCAGAGCTCCCCTGTGCTTTAGCTGTGTGGGATGGAATGATGCAGGCTGTGCTCGCACTGACACAGAGCAACTGCTCTGTCATTCCTGGCCCCAGCGCTGCCAAGGCTCTTTCATGCTGCCACTTTGTCTAACTCGGAGAAAAGACTAATTAGGAACGCCAAGAACAAGCACAGCATTCCACAACAGCCTCTGAATTCCTACAGAGCTGAAGTTTTCTTATTTCACACACTCCAAGTCCTCCAGCTTCGAAGAACACATTCCAGATGCTAAATAACAGTCTTACAGGTGTACAAGAATTTCTTGTTGAGTTAAACTTGTTGGATATAAATCAGGAAACATCATCCCAGGGTTTATAACACTCTTGGATACAAGTATCAGGAAAAAAAAAGGCACATCCTGTTATATTTATATTTCTTCCCCCTTCCCAGCAGGGGAAATTCAGTTTATTCAGTAAATTCAGTTACCTACCGATACTTGACTTTGATCTTGTCATTGTCAGGGTTGCAGTAGAGCCTTTCCAGGTGCTCCTGGGAATCGTTGGTCACACTTTGCCACCTCTGGGTTGCTGTCCTCCTCACCTGCCAGTGATAGGGTAACACTGTGTGATGCTTGGGACAATCACTGCCATAAACACAAGTTCCCTGGAGAAAATCCACACAGATTTCAATCCCATCCTCCTGGTGGGTGTGATACTGCAGCTGGTTCAAGAGCTCAAACACCAGGTCAAGGGAAGCTTCTTCACTTTTATCCTGGAATATCCCAGCACTGAATTTATTGCTTGGGGTCAAGTTGTATTGCACTGGACAGCTGTTCTCCTGGAGCAAGGCAGATGTGTAGCCTTCCAGAACCTTGTCAGGGAACAGAGGACAAGTTGCACCATCACTAGCACTTGGGTGCAAAGGATGATCCTGGAATGATTCATTACCATTATCAGCAGCAGTTCCAGGAGTTTCTGGGGAGAATCCTTGCTCTCCTGCCTGGGAGTCCTGCTCAGGGTGCCTGGGGGAAGGATGAGCTCCTGGCAGCTGACCCTGCACATCTGGAGCTGTTGGCATCAGCACAGTCACATTATTTTCTGTCTGGGGGCAAGAGGTACCGAGGTCCAGAGTCTTTTTCACAGCAGGTTCACATAAATCACCACGGCCACCGCGCTGGCCTCGGGGCACAAAGACCCTGTCCAAGGCCCCAGCTCCCAGCAGGCTGGTGAAGATCGGCCGCAAAGCCCGCAGAGTTTGCGTGTCCAGCCTCTTCTGCACTTGCTGCTTCTTCTTGAAGCAAGGCTTCACTGGTGGGATCTTTTCAGACAGCCTCACCTGCGGAGAAAAGTCCTCAGCAGGAGAGCACTTCATTCCTGGGCAGGGAGCCTGGGGCACCACGCACGCTGCCTGGGGCTCGGTGGCCATCGGACACAGCCTTTGCTCTCTCCAAATCACTTTCAAATGTCCCAGAGCCTCCCAAGAATCAATCTAGGGCAGAAAGGAAAACAAGACAGTTAATCTCTCTAATTGCTCATGGTTGACACGAACAAGATCACCCCTGGAGAGGATTTCGAGCCAGCAACAGCAAACTCCTCCCCTCGCTGTGACTGCGGGTAGCCCTTAGGCACGTAAAGCATGAAAACAGCTAAACTCAGGCTAATTAATCCCAAACCCACACTCCTCATCTCCCCGCACATCCAGGCTCTGAGACACTCAGGCACGCACACACAGTCCCCCGAGGGTGGGCAGGAAAGGGGGACGCTCCGACGCCTCCTCCCTGTCAGGATGTTCAACAAACGAGCGCACTCGGCTTCATCCTATTCCACAAAAGCGAACGTGACAGCGCCGATTTCTGCTCCCCCTCCACTGCAGACATTCCCGCACCATTTCCTCTCCCACCGGAGGAGCAAAGCTCCGCATTCCCATTCCATCCCCCTGTGTCCTCCCTCCCTCCCTCCCTCCCTCCTGCCGCCTAGCACATCCCCCGGCAGCACCGCCGGGAAGCGCTGGCTGTGCGGAGACCCACGGCGAGCTTCCCACGGACTCCAGCCTGTAATCCTGCCGGGATCTGAGCAATTCCAGAGCTGCCAGCCCTCCCCGCCCCGGGACAGCACCGCGCCGGGCAACAGGAATTAGAACTGGGCAGGGAAACAAACAGAAGGGTGATGGTTACTCAGGAACAGAGACATTGCTTGCGAGCTGCAGAATTTGAAGCACAAATGAGCAGTGTGTCTCGTACGTCACCAAAAGCAAGTGCTATGCCTTTTAATCAGGAATCCTGTAATATTTGATTACATTTAATTAAACCTTCTTCAATCTCACATGCAGGCTCGGTGCTCGGAGTGGAGCGCATTAAGGATTACTTCCTGGATAAATGCATTCCGAGCGAAGTTACTCCTCACTTCAAAACAAAAATCCCGAAAAACAGAGAAAATTCGGCAATAATTTCTTGCTACTGATGATTTGCTCTGGAAAATTTCTCACTGAGTCTTCCGTATTTTGGAACATTCGTTTGTAAGGCTTTTCCACTTCCTTGGGAAACAGCACGTCAGGATTGCCAGGAAAAAAGACAAAAAGTTGTGCCTCTCCAGTTTTCCCATTTTTAGAATAAATTTAATGCAACTGGTGTATCTGTTTGGCAGTTAACCCCAAAGTCATCGGTGTATCTGTTATTCTTCCACAGACACCAGGGCAATTCCTCCAAACCACCAAAGGCACCTTCAGGTAACTCCAAGGGTTTAAAAATCCTCGACACCGAAGAGAATGAGATGTTCCCGTTCGTGCAGCCCAGGTCTCAGCGCCCTGGCGAGGAGCGAGGGGATCTGCCAGGGCTCAAGCACCAAGGTGCTGAGCAAGCGACTTCTGATCTCCTCCAGCCATACCTTTGCTGCTATTTCAACATTTATATTCCTCACTCGACCAGCATTTAAGTTTTGCTGCTATTTTTACAGAACTGCCTTAGCGAGCAGAGCCGGATCCCCCAACGACTCTAAAAATAAAGCAGCGAGGAGGACGAGGATGAGGCTTTGGCGGCGCTCCGGTCTCAGCGTTGCGGCTGCAGGAGCGATCCCGCAGCGATGCTCCCGCACGCCGAGCTTCAGTCAGGCCGGGGGGCTCCGCTCCCCATCGCACTCCCCTCCTCTGCTCAAGAAAGCCACTCCGCCGGCCTCAAGACACCTCTCGACAAGGAACATTAAAAGCAGCAGCCCAGAGACACAACCTGAGCGCGGCGGAGCTGCCGGGCAGCCAGAGCAGCGCAGCTGGGACCTTACCGGCGCGGCTTCCCTCGGCGCTGCTCCCGCGTTCTCACCCAAATCCACGGCAACTCCAGAGCGAAATCACTTTTCTGCTGGGGGGGAGACGCCGGGACGCCCTGGCACGGTCAGCACCGCCGTGTCCGCACCAAGGGCCGCGTCCGGCCGCGCATCCCGCCCCGACCCGCTGCGCTCCCCGCGCCCCGGAGCCGCCCGCTTAAGTAGCGCTGCCGCGGGAGCTCCGCGGGCCGCGCCGGCCGGGGCGGAGCGCGGGTGGGCTCGGCCTCTCCGACCCGCCCCGGAGCCTCTCCGACCCGCCCCGGGGCCTCTCCCCCCGCGGCGCCGGCCAGGCTGCAGCACGCCCCGCACCGCTGTCAGCCGCGAGAACCGAAAGCGCCGCCCGAGGCCGTTCCCAAGAGCGATAGGACGAGAGGCCCCTCGGCGTTTCGCTTATCACGCAGCGAGCGTTTCGTTTCAGGCCGGCAGGGAGGGAGGGAGGGAGGGATGTCCCCGAGCACGGCACTGCGTGCGTGGGGCTCGCACGCGAGCCGGGGAATGAGCCGGGGAATGAGCCGGGGAATGAGCCGGGGACACGCCGGGAATGAGCCGTGCCAGCCCGGGAGCTGCAGTCACGCAGCACGGAGGAACACACCGTGCTCACCGAAGGCAAGGACGGCACCCTGAGCCTCCCCGAGCTCCCGGTGCGAGCGGCTCCAGCCGCGCTAATGAATGAGTAAGAGACAAACAGGGAACAAAGTCACCCTGAGTCACTCGCTGCAGCCACACGCAGCCCCTGGCACGGCTCTGCCCCGCTCGGGGCCGTGCTCCTGCCGGTGACACACTCCGGAAAAGCCGGCGTGGAGCGGAACAGGTTTCCCGGAGAGGCTGCGGCTGCCCCAGCCCGGAAAGTGCTCAAGGCCGGGTCGGACGGGGCTTGCAGCAGCCCGGCGTGTGGAAGGTGTCCCTGCCCAGGGCAGGCTGGTGGAACGAGATGAGTTTTAAGGTCCGTTCCCCACCCAAAGCGCGCTGTGATAAGGCGCTAGGGGCAGCTATTGTTTATTTAGGGAGTATTTTACAGGTGGGATGGTGAGGAGCAGTTCCCCTCCCTTTGTCCCCGAGCCGTGCCGTGCTGTCACCGGCTGGCCGTACGTGTGAGGGAGCACGGGCGGTTCAGCTGGCCGTGCCGGCCGGGCATGCTTCCCTGCTGAATCACCGCCTGCTCCCCGAGAAAAACCCGGCCGGGCACGGCCAGCCGCTCACACCGCCACCGCCACCACCCATCCACCCACAGCGCTAAGAATGGCCGGATAAGAGAGCTTAGAAAGGAGTCAATAACTTCAGAATGTAACATTCATGGTGGTGGAACACCTATTGTATTATCTGCCCAGAGCAGCCGTGGATCCCCTGGATCCCTGGAAGTGTCCAAGGCCAGGCTGGAGAGAGCTTGGAGCAAGCTGGGGTAGTGGAAGGTGTCCCTGCCCATGGCAGGGGCTGCATCAAGATGAACTTTTAGGTCCTTCCATCCCAAAGCACTCTGGGCTTCCACAGCTCGTGTTCTTGTTTTCTTTTTAAAGCCAGTCTTTCATTCCTCACGCTCAGTGACTTTATGAAATTACAGATACAGAAAACAAAGGCGGCTGGAAGGAAACTTGTTTTAAGGTGGCACAAGCTGCACAGCACAGTTGGGAAACATTGCACAGCTGCATTTATAGTGCACGTAGGATATGCCACTTTCCCAACTAATTACAGAAACAGAGCTCCATAGAATCACAGATTTTTGGGGCTGGGAATGACTTTAAAGCCCATCCAGTCCCACCCTCCACTATCCCAGGCTGCTCCAAGCCCTGTCCAACCCAGCCTTGGACTTCCAGGGATGGGGCAGCCACAGCTTGTCTGTGCCAGGGCCTCCCCACCCTCACAGGGGAGAATTTTATCCAGTCTAAACCTACTCTTTGTCAGTTTGAAGCCGTTCCCTTTGTCCTGTCCCTCGGTGTCCTTGTAAAACTCCAACACAGTTGGAGAGAGAATGACTCAAGAGAGGCTGAGTAAAGGTGGCATCTGTATCTGCAGGAACTGAAAACAAATTATCATCTATAAATTAATTGAGCTCTCGAGTGTCTGAAGCATCAGACAGAGCCTCCCAGTCTGTCTGGACTGGAGCATTCCCAAGCAGGGTGACTGGGATGTGTCACATCCTCCTTCAGGGAGAAGGAGCTGCTCACACACACACTTGTATTTATGTGCCACCACCAGAAGAGAAATTACCACTTTGGAATAGCTCCCTTCACGCATGAGCTATAAATAAGAGGCACATATGGCTGATCTGCACACTGGGGTGGGCACAGCTCCCGCTGCACTGGGGCTGGGAGGATGGAACCAGGCAAAGACAGAGGCTGGAATAACCATCCTTCCCCAAACAAATATATAATTAAAGGAAACACAGCACACCAGACCCTCGACACCCACTTCTGAGGCCACCCCACACAAATATAGAAAGAAACTCTGACCACCGTGAAAGCATGATCTCATCTTTAAATACATGTTTAAATCTTAAGCAAGAGAAAGAAAGCTTTAATTATTTCTTTCAGATGGTAAAGGCCCCAGCTGAATACAGCAATTAACAACTCTGACTTGCAAATACAGGATAATCAGTATGCACACTCCGATTCTTCGCTGATGAAAGAAACATCTGACTTAATGTTTGTGATAAAACAACAAAGCTCTCGGGCTCCAAGACATTTTTTTCTAGGGACAGAACTCCTTTGCCACCTCAACTCTTGCACAATGAACATTCTTCACTTCTTAGAACACATCACAGGACAGGAAAGTTCCTGAAACACTTCCCAGTGTTTCACACAAGCCAACAAACAGCACCGTGCTGACAACAAACAAAGAGATCCCAGAATGGTTTGGGTGGCAAGGACCTTAAATCTCACCTCATCCCACCCTGGCCATGGGCAGGGACCTTCCACTAACCCAGCCTGGCCTTGGACACTCCCAGGGATCCAGGGGAAGTGACAGCTTTTCTGGGAATCCCATCCCAGCCCCTCCTGCCCTCTGGCACTGGGAGCCATTCCCTGTGTCCTGTCCCTCCATCCCTTGTCCCCAGTCCCTCTCCAGCTCTCCTGGAGCCCCTCCAGGCCCTGCAAGGGGCTCTGAGCTCTCCCTGGAGCTTCTCCTCTCCAGGTGAGCACCCCCAGCTCTCCCAGCCTGGCTCCAGAGGGGCTCCAGCCCTGGAGCAGCTCCTTGGCCTCCTCTGGGCTCTCTCCAGCAGCTCCAGGTCCCTCCTGTGCTGGGCCCCAGATGTGGGGGCAGCTCTGCAGGTGGGGTCTCACCTGAGTGGGGCAGAATTTCCCCTCCCCTGCTGCCCATGCTGGGCAGGGCACGGGGCTGGGGAGGTTCTGGGGGCCAGCTCGGGTCATGTTGAGCTCCCAAATTCTTCTCCTCAGGGCAGCTCCCTGGATTTGTGCTTTTCCACCCCAATGCTTGATGGCAAAGCTAATCCCCTGCAAATCCCAGCCCGAGCTCTACCCCTGCCAGGCAGCCAGGGCAGGTGAGCAGCCAGGGGAAGGAAAGGCCAACGATGCAGACATTTATTAGAAGGTAACAGCAGGGAAAAGTGAATCTCTGATGTGCTGGCTGTGTCTGTGATGGGAAATGATGCCAGCCAGGTTTCAGGGCTGGGAAGGAAGAGGCAGGAGGGCAGCAGAGGTTTATTCACGACTGTGCTCAGGAAGCCTTGGCTGGACTGACACCTACTGGGCTCCACATGCTGTGGTCGGTCCTCAAGACAAGGAAGACAGAAATGTCACAGTTTAAACTTACCAAGATGAACTTTTCTATTCATTAAATTCATTTACTAGTGAATTTCTACTCATTACTTTCGTTCTGTTCATTCATTCCATCCATCTCCAGACCTTATCTGTTTATACATGATGATCTTAGAGCAAGTCAATGGAAGAAGGTGGTGCTAGTCTTTAAAGTAAAAATTTTCTTGCTGTTTACATATTCACTGTGTGTTGGGGATTTCTCAGTAAACCTTGTATTTTTCTTTTTTTACACTGGTCCAAAGAAAAGTCCCAAAACTAGAGTGGTTCCAATTAATCAATGAAACCTTTTGAATTCAGACCCAACTTTTACATTTGCAGCTGGCAGTAAGCAAAGTCATTTCCTTGGTGTCAAATTCTCCCTCTTTTAATATCTTGTAATAGTAATTAAAAGTTTTGAAAGTACCAAGTCTGGTGAAAACAGCATTTATCATGTATTATACATGAGTATCACCACACCTCTGGTTATTTCACTATCAAATAATCTTATCCCAGGCAGTGATTTAGGACTGATGAATTTAGACAGCGAACACACAATTCCAAGGGGGGCCCTTTTCCTGGAAATTTGTCAGGAGTTAATAATTTCTGCAGAGGTATTTTAGTGCCCCAGGCAGAGGAATGGACCTCGACCCTTGGCCTGTGTGGGCAGAGAACACCTCTGTGCTTTCAGGATGGCAGCACAGCAGCTGCAGCTCCGTCACTCCTGACTACCTCATGGAACAAGAAATCATTTAGCACACAACTCCTTTCTATTTCTGTTCTATCAGTCACACTCAGCAGTTTCTCCAGAACTCAGCCTTCTAGGGAGAGTTTCCTTCTGCAGCTGGACCAGTCTGAGGGGGAAATTAACGATGCTTCCAAAGTAGAACAATAATATTAAAAAAAAAAACCCTACACTTTATTTTTAGAATGCATGTAGTGAGCATTTGCAGGGAATCAGGTACAGACTGAGACCGGGTAACACCAGACACCAAAAAGTACCAGACTGGAGGGACACTCTGGGACACTGAACTGACTTGGAAGTTGATGTAAATACACAAATTAATGCATTAAATGAGTCAAGATGTGCCCACAGTGGGGCCAGGCTCGTCTGGTTTGGATGGGATTTTGTTGAACTGCTGCTCCCTCTCGTGGAAGTCTCTCAAATCCATGTAAACCCCGGGAATTTATTCA